TATTTGCTTTCTTTCTCGTTTTCTCGTAACATTAACAAATAATAATCAAATTTTCACTATCTTTTTTACTTATTCTATCATTTTTTATTAATCATTTTAATAAATTTATCATAATATCATCACTTTACTGTCAACATACCTTATTTTAATATTAAAATAATATTACGTCTTAAGGTCAATGCCCAAAAAAACCTATATTATTTTACCAGACAAAAGGAATATAATAAATAATTAGTGATAAGACCCACGTTTTCTAAAAAATTCTGAATTCTCATCTTCATCTTCATGTTAAAGACTCTGATGAAATGTAATAAACTAAATTAGGTTGAGAGAGAATCTTTAGGAGTTGGATCTATGCATAAATCTTTTAACAAATAATAATTAAATTGTTATTATTTTTTATTTATTCCATCAATTTTCATCAATCATTTTAATAAATTTGTCATACTATCATCACTTTATTTTTTATATATATCACTTTAATATTAATATTTATATATATTTATAATTTCAATGCTCAAAGAAACCTACATTATTTTGCCGGACAAAAAAAGTATAATATATAATTAGTGATATGACCAATATTTTAATTTTAGAAAATATAATTACATTTTCATCACATTTTAAATTTAATAATTTATAATTTTTTAATTTTAGTTATATCATTTAATTGTCTTAATTTTAATTTATAATTATTTTTATTACATAATAATTAGTTTACTATATTTTTTAATTATTTATTAATATTCAATAGATGAGAAAAGAAAGAGTATATTACAATGATTAGAAATGGACCCCATATAAAAATAATAAAAAATTCACCATTAAAAAGAAATTGCATATGTTATTATATTATTAATATTTTTTTTTGTGGGCCTAAAATTTAAAAATTTGAAAAAAAAAATTTTAAAAAATCAAAATGTAACACGTGGTGGAATGGTTTCCACGGTAAATATATATGTATGTTAGATATCATATATATTTTTTATAATATCTATATTTGTCAATGAAAAACATAAAACAAAATAAAGTAAGTGCTAATATACCATTCTTTCTCTTTCTTCTTGCTGTAGACTAGGCTTTTTACAATAGCGGCATGTTATGATGGAAGAGGAGAAGCTTTTCACACGAGGATGAGATGATGTTTTAATTGGTGTCGTCTATAACGTGCAGAAGGCGCTTGGACAAGCGATGTTACTTTTTGTGAATGCAAATGCAACTGAATAGTCGACAACAAAACTCCATCATGCAGCCAAAGAATAATACTTCCGGTGTTCTCAAGGATGGTAATTAAGAGAATTTTCCAAATGACGGTGATCTCAACGCCGAAGACGTATCATCTCACGTGGAAATGAGGAGAGCTGTCGGTCTTGTCTGTATCTGCCCGTCTCTTTTAGGAGCAAATCAGAGAGGAATTGCAATCATCTCTTTTATTTATCCAAGTATGTAGTGGACATGATTAGTCCGGCCATCCACAATGAAATGACTTAGTTGCGAGATAAAGAGCCTAGGAATGGCAAAACGCCGATGCAAGAAAGTCACATCGCCGACGCCTCATCTTTTCAAAAATTCCAAGTAAAAACTCCGCCCTCTCAATTTCAATATGTACAAGTTTTCTATCCTTCCGAGGGATGGAGCTTCGGCATGCACCTTCACATGTATGCCGCCACCAGAAGGAGTCCGATTTTCCGTCGGCTTGACCAAATAATTCAGCCAACCCGCTTGAGTGAGGGCAGGATGGCCCACAGAGCTAACGGAGGATTTTTATGGTTCTGAAATAAATATAGCCCTCTCATTTCCTCTAGAGCCCTGGGGGAATTGGATATCTTGGAGTCAACAACATTATATTTCCCCGATGTACTATGGAACCTTGTGGGGTTCGTATGCCCAAATCCTGCCAAGTTACCTATCATTTGGGCGCCGGTGACTATGGACAACGTAACGGCCATAGAATTTATGTATGCACCACCACAACATAGATCCAAGAACATCAACCCAAATCCACGTCAGCGGATTCCGATAGAGTGGCTAATTCCACAAATCGGCCAACCAAAGTATCACCTGTGACCATCCCTGAACGAGGGAACCAATGTTGGATTTATTGGATCCTTAGCAATTCATGCGAGGGTGGGTCCTTGGGGATCTTTAAAAGCCCATTTTATGAAGTTTCGGAGAGTTGGCCAACATCTTTATCCAAGAAGGAGGAGAATTTGTCCAATAGTAACAAATGATCCAAATCATTCTCAACAAGTCCATAAGAAGTGATGATGGCCATGATCGAGACCACCTATTAGGGAACCAGTGTAGCAGATTTCACCACCTCCAGTGGAAAATCATCCACAACCAGTGGGAGAAGGACAGGCTCTCCCGGGGTTTTGACTCATTTGAGAAGAACGCCTAGTTGCAGATTTGCCTCAGCGGAATCCATCCAACAAGGGACAGCGAGAGAACATGTAGAGGAATAATCTGTTAGTGGATTCGGCTACCTTGGAGGAAAGAGTGCAAAGAGTTTATGGGGAGCGCTTGTGGATTCCAGTAAGTCAACAGTCATTTCCAGATTAAGTTGTTGAAGAACATCCACTGCCAAGAATCGCTCATATACCAGAGTTTACCAAATTTTCAGGGGAGAATTCTAAGTCCACCATTAAAAGTATGAGCTGATTCAGTGTGATGAGAAATTCGATAACAATAAGTGGTTCAAATTGCAGTTGTTTTCCCTATTGTTAACAAGACAGGCGTTTAGTTGGTATGCTTCATTTCGTCCCAATCCGGTGCACACTTGGATAGAATTAATTTGTTGCTTGAGGTGAGCATCATGAACTTAACTGTTTTATGGAATAAAATAGACAAACCGGCGGAGCAATTCCGTGGGCGGTAAGATGGTGTCAAGTCTGCATTATGAAAAATCAGGTTTTTAACATCGCCATTGGTAATATGAACCCTGCAATTCGGAGAAATCTAGCATTGTATGAGTACCAAGATTTAAGGCAATTGCCTTCTAAGACGGTCAACAATCTTGCATGAAATTTTGAACCCCGAGGTAGCGGCTACTCCAACGAGACAATCATACATATAGGGGGATAGAGAAGGGAGACATGAAGAGTTGTGGTCAGACTATCTATCTGAGACGCCTCGCTTTCCTAAGCCATATTTCAGATTGAGGTTTTGAATGCGACGAAAACTATTCACCAGAATTTTTACAGAGGTATGCACTAATTACTCTTACTTTAGTCAAAAAGTCGATTGTACGAACCGGAGTGGGCTTTCACCCCTACGAAAAGTTATGGTAGCAGTGCGAATCCTCACATATGATTTTTGTTTTGATAGTATTGATGAAGTTATAAAAATAGGCTAAAGTACAACAAGAGTGGTTGTGTTGAAGTTTTGCGACACAATGATCAGTACTTTTAAGGAACAATACCTGCGTGACCCAACCAGTGACGACATAGCACAACTGTTAGCTGAAAATAAAGCACGTAAATTTCCGAGGATGATAGGCTCTCTGGATTGCATGCACTGACGGTGGGATGCATGCCCCGTGGCGTGAAAAGACCAATATAACGGACGCTATGGCTACCTGACATTGATACTAGAGGCAGCTGCTTCCCAAGAACTGTGGATATGGTATGCATTTTTTGGAATGTCTGGTACTAGTAGTGATGTGACTGTTTTAAATTTTTCACCCTTATTCAACAGGTACATGGACGGAACGGCGCCTCCAATTGAGTGTGAGGTGAATGGGAGGGTTTATGACCTCCCATATTATCTGACAGATGGGATATATCAGAGGCATGCAATATTCATGCAGGCAGTGAGAAATCCGATAATTTCCAAAGAATGAGCATTTACTACATTACAGGAAGCCTACCGCAAGGACATCAAAAGAGTATTCGGAGTACTCAAACAGAAATGGCGTATTTTTGCCATGCCCGCTCGAATCCGGAGAATAAGTGATCTTCTACGTGTGATAACTATATGTATTATTCTACACAATATGATTGTCGAAAATAAGCATGGCTATATTCTTCCCGCCTAGATGCCGTCAACTGAAGAAGATCGAAATATACCCAATCAAGAACAGTCAGTTGAGGATGTTTGTCTCTTATATCCCATTAGGATGGGTAGAATTTGTAATGATGAAACCAATGGAAGACTACACGATGATCTCATCAATTATCAGTGGTTGAGATAGGGCGGTGAAAACATCTAGTTGTAGCGTGGATGAGATCTCATTTACGTATGTATGAACATAGGCTTTGACCCGTTCGTTGGCTTGCACTTTCTTCTTTTGTTAGTTGCTTCTTAAGCAAATGCTAAAACAAATTAGATCTTATGAATCATCTGTTTTCTTCCTCATAGATTATAGGAGACTTTGGGAAGTAACCTTATTTTACTAACAGATAAATATTCATAGTGCAAACAGTTTTTCATATAAAAAAATTTTCAGAGATCCACATATCCACATAAATATTGAATTTAAGACAAATGATGACAATGAATAACATTTGAAAATTTAGGTGTGAACTTCCCAAAAAAAAAAATAAAATTGCATTCTTTCATTGATGGACTTCTACAATAAAGAATTTTTGTACTCATATACCACTAGTTCTCTGGACTTCTACAGCAAAGATTTTTGGTGTTTGTACATGTGTTTACATATATTTTTACTACAAGGTAGAATGGGTTGAGCAATTTTCTTTTTTTCTTCTAAAATTAAAACAAAAAATTGAAATATATATGTGAACCATGTTGTTCATTGGATATATATAATTAATCAATTATCCAACCCTGTATATTTTCTCCATAAACAATCTACACTAATGTAAACCTAACATTCGATAATTAGTGTTAACAAAAACAGAGGTTACTCGTCCCTTCTTTTGCATACATAGATATAATTATCGCACTAATATCCCAATAGCCTATAGCTAATAAATATATCCATCTGTCCTGGATGAGATCAAGGTCAAGGTCACCATATTCCTACATAACCATGCTAGCATATTTTCCATTAAAATTAAATATTGCAATAGTTCAAAGGAAAAAGAGACAAAGTACGGGGTATCACAATCCTTGATCAAACACATAGCACAAATGAAAAATGGCTTGCATACGCAAACATTATGGATGTTTCATTTTTCAGGAGAACATTCTGATCCACTCGTGTCGTTGAAAAGTCACTTCCTATTGGCATTGCGTCTACCGCTTGCATGTGCCATATCCGCTTTGGTAGGACTTGTCTCATGAATAGATTGTAGTGTTGCTCTCAACCCTATAAAATGGAAAAATTGATAGATAAAGAAGTAAATAGTTTCCCGGATATAAAAGGTACAAATATGTACTTGTGAGGGCGCGTGTGTAATGTTGCACTTGTTCCTTCCGTATTTCATATTGCGTCTCTTACAAAAAAGTGTCCAGATTGTCCTTATCCAATTCCTCCAACCTCGCTTCAGCCTTCATTAACCGTTCGTTAATGTCTGCAACCTCTTTTGCTATATTTGCATACTCTTTGTTAATCTTTATTGAATGCTGAAGAGATGACAAGACACAAAACTGAGCAAGATGTAGCGTCACATTCAAAAAGTGAGAAATATGAATTGAGAAGGCTAAATTTAAAAACCACATCTGTTTTTGATCTTTCAAATATGACCTCATACTCTTCTTCTCTTTACAAATCTCTTTTGCGGTCTTCTGCCTTAAATTTTGACCATCTTTTGTTGCTTGAACAATCAATCTTACTCTTTTGTATTCGTCTCTGTCGTTGATTATTTGTCCTTTTCGCAGCTTTGGCCTTCTTGGCCCTAAGTGAACGCTTTAGATCATTCGCAAAGGGCCCTACCAGCTCTTGTTGTTCACCGAACCTCAAGGACGAGGTAGTGTTCGAAGGTCCCGCACCTACATTATTGTCCACGGGGATCACTAGCGATGGTACTTTAACAGATCCCTGAAGATCATTTCGTTTCCCAATGTCTTCATTACGAAACATACTCGACATCTTTTTTTTTTTGCTCTTCTTGCTGCCACAAAATTTCATCCAAAGCAAGTAAGACTACTAAATATTAACCACGCCAGATACTAAGTACTATAAAGCAAGTAAGACGATTAAGACAAACCGGATACCAACAACATAAAAGCAAAATCTAAAGTGGGTCAAGCCATGATACCTAGCACCGAAATCTGAAACTCGGAATACCAGCCGCATCCGCCCGGAGAAGCTAAGTATCCGATCATGTGAAATAGAACACGCCTTTGTCCACAGTGCATCTGCCACTCAGTTTCCCTCCCGATAGATGTGGGAGATCCGCCAAGTGATGCCACGCAATCGCAATCGAAGTCGGAGGAAGCACTCTTGCAAAGTCCAATGTTCGCAAATGTGTTTGTCGCCAAGGGGATCGGCAACTGAAAGGCTAAGACGACCGTCCTAAATAAATCTCGAATAGCACCGGCGGCTTCCGCTAGCCCGGGATTTCCCATTGATGCTTCATCGGTGTTCAATTTGAACCACCCCGGTGACGGAGCCTCTCATTGGATAAGTACCGGAGACCGAGGAATTGACGGAGGATATCGGAACCCAAGGCGAGCCGTCAAAGCAAATACGATATAATTATTTAATATGATATAAAACAAATTGGGTTTCCTATTTTGAATTTAAAGTCTTTTTATATATAATATGTTAAAAAAAATTAGATGATCCATATAATATTTTTAGAAAAAAAAAATTAAGGAAGTATATTCATTTCAAATTTCATAGAGAGTTTATTGGATTTTAAATAGTCTCATAAATTTCATGGAGAGTTTGGTGAATTTTATTAATTGATTTATATAAAATTTTACAGATTTGGTTGAATTATTCATAGATTTATATGAATTTTATAAGATTGTAGAATTTTTTTTTTTTTTTTTTTTTTTTTTTTATCTAGTATTTTATACAAGTTTCATATAAATTGATAAAAAAAAAACTATTCAAATTGATATTAAATACTAAAAAATTATGCACATGTGGTGATGAGTTGATTTAATAATTAATTATGTAATGTAATTATCCAATTAACTACTCATCACCACGTGTGCTGAATTTTTTAATTCTATCACCTAATTCATCTCTTTAATTTTATTATATAATAATTATTTTTAATAATATATTTTTTAATTATATACTAATTATATTTTATCTAATTTCCATAAATGATAAATTGGACACGAAAAGTGAGACAAAAGAAGTAATACAATAATAAGTAAATTTTTTAAAATTATATATATGTTTGTTTGTTTGTTTATGATTTCGAACATAAAATCTTTTTTATTGATTTTTAATAAAAAAAATATTATCTTTTTTTATAAATATCAAATTAAATTATTATTTAGGTAAAAAAGTTAAACAATCTAACACTTATTTTAAATTAATTTTAAAACACAAGTAAACAAATATTATACCAACCTGAATTAGACGATTGGATAGTGGATACGCCCAATGTGCAATTCCCATATCTAAATATATCTATATATGATATTGACCACAAAGAGTAGGTGTAGTTAAGTAAGAATTTATAAAGCACGTATTAGATTTTGACTAATGTCTACCATATCATTATATTATTATTGTTTCCTTGTCGGGTCTTCATTTTGTTGAATCAACACGACACCCAATCAAGCCTATTAATATATACTTTTTTTATTACTAATATTGACTATTTTATTACTAATATTGACTACTGAATTGCATAAAACAGGTCAGGTCAATATAGGTAATCTGACCTGTTTTTGTTCTCTTTCTTTAATGCTCAACACCTCCTCTTCACTCTTTCTTCATTCTCAATAATGACATATACTTAGCTATTCAATCATTCATAGATTTTTTTATCAATTTTATTGAATTTTTATGAGAAACTATTAAAAAATTTATTATATAAAACGAACAATTGTAATTAAATACCCATCCCTATTTTCATATTTGTATTAAATCCCTATCCAATATTAGTGGAGTCTGCACTCCTCCCTTTTAAAATTTTCTTACAATTAACTCTAATTCATTTTTCAGTTTCAATTTTACTCTCATCTCACCTCAAAAATTCATTTTTATCAATTTTATTTTTTTATCTCTATTTGTTAGGTTTTTTTTGCAGGAGTGAAAGAGATTGTATCCAGCCTTTGGTTTCATTCGCGTGAAGGAAAAAATTGTCTACATCGTTCGGTTTAATTTGCGGAGAGAGTCTATGATCGATGGTGAATCTGTGATGGATTTCGAATCCAAATTCCAAATTTTAGGTTTATTTCGCGCAAGGGAGAAACAGGTAAGGTGGATGTTCGATTCCTCAGCTTGCGATGTTCTTTTGGTGTGATGATTTTGTTGGTTGATTGCGATAGTGCTGTTAGGATTCACGATCGATTTCGGTAAGTATTTCACTATTGCTTCAACGATTGTTGTCTTGTTTGCGGTTATGATTGTTTCTAATTGTGTATAACCTTTCGTTAAGAGGGTATGTATTCGAAAAAATCTTTGTAGGAGCTGTTGCGATTTCCTGCTAGTATGCGTGGGTATTTTCACGGATACATTTTTACAGTGTAATATACCTATATTTATTAATTTTATACCTATGTTTTTTGATATCGTATGATGTATTTGTTTAAAAGTACATTGGTTTTGTTGGTATATACTACGATTACTCATTGTGAACCTTGGTGTTATATTTTATGTGTTTGTATTAGATAATGTTAATATCTTGTAGCTATGCAGCGGTGTCTGCCGAAATTGATTGGAAATAATTTTGCTGAAGGTTAAGGTTTATTATTCACATTGATGGTCAATAATTGGAAAAAAATATATTTTTTGATAAATACTTAAAAATTCTAAAGTTCATTCCTGCCGTATTTTTCAGAGCCCACCACACATATTATCTTCAACACCTAATGAACAACTTTCGCACTTAGTTATGTGTAAAATATATATTTATTTATTATGATATGTACAACAAGCTAATTATATTTCATATAAGTAGTGCAGAGATATGGGATGTACAACAAGAAATGATGGACGTTCATTTTCAACAAAGCAGGTTATGCCCCTCTATAGAAGGATTTTGAGCAGCATATAACGTATGTTGTGGAGGCCATGTCACTTGCCCGAAACTTCATTGCATGATTACAACGCTAGTGTCAGACGAATTATCTACTCTAAGAGACTCGTTGGAGGATAATAAATAACAATATAGCTGAGTCGTTGTATAGTTGGTTGCGCTCAGCAAGGTCATTATATTTTGTTGGGATGTTTGATTCTATCCAACAATATGTGATGTCTATGATGAATCCATAACCCGGCGCCGACCCATAATATAGATGTGGCGTAACAACCTGCAGACAAATATAATTTCTCACACATCATTCTTCCAACCAGGCTAGCCAAAGCAAAATGCGATTTGAATTACAGTAGGTGAAACAAATTAAAAAATATAATAGTTTTGGTCATCATGACACAACCGAAAAAATTGCAAGGAGATTTTATTGTAGGTATTTCTTCCGTGTTTCTTATGGCTGGAATTTTTTTTTTTTTTTTTTTGTTTATGCAAGATTGTTCATTGAACGTAATTTATGTATGGGACCACTATTGAATTATTTGAAAATTCGATGATATTCCCCTGCATATTACTGGACGTACACAACTATTTTTCCGAGGTACATATTAGTTCAAAATAATTCTTCCAAAGTATAAAACAAGGGTACATGAATTCATAATGAAATTACGTTACATGTTATTGTAATTATATTAAATATGATCATAAGTAATAGTTATTAACAACGACAATAAATTACACGGGAATTTGCTTATTAAATTCTACATAATACTTTAGGTCTTTTATGTTCCATAAGTACTCGTTACGGTATAACATGACCCATAGTGTAACTTTATCATTTATCTGAAATTATATTAATATATATTAAATTTATTTATGGAGGTATTTAATATTGTTGAAGGAGTTGCTGCAATGAAAATACGAGTATGTTGTGACGTTCATGGAGTATATTCATTAATATCATGTGTATACATATCCGAGTAAGAGGGTGCATCTTTGTGTTGGGAAGGGATATGAAATATTAATTGTGAGACATATTGAATTTTCTGACACTGTAGGGAACATATTAGTCATTGATGCGTATATGTTACCGGTCCACTGGTGCTTTCAGAATAATTTAGTGAGTACACGTCTTCTCAATATACATCGATTACGTAGGTGTGAATTTATGTTTTGGATTGAATTTGTGAGACTAGATTTTGTTTAATTTGGTGTTTATCGATATTGGGTATTTCTAATTTTTCTAATTTATAAGTTTAGAAATCTTAAATTGATTATTGCGCACGTATTGATTTGAGATTTCGTAGCTAAATTAGAGATTGACACCCGTAATTGTGTAATTTTCCAATTGGTGTAGCAACGTAGAGGAATACTCTATGGAAGAATTAGAATCAATTTTAAACAAAATTGCGCGTAGGAATTTTGTTAAATTGAATCGGGCCTTTCTAGTACTTAAAGCTATCGAGTCAGTAAAACTACGGTCGTACCTAAGATTCTCACTCGATTAGGGAAATAGCTAACTATCGTACCTTAGCTATCGACAAAGTTAGGAAAGGTTGGTTGTGAACGCGTATAGATCAACTATAACCAATTTATCCAACTAGTCAATGAACTTGATTTTTAGTCGATGAACAAAATTTATATCCCGAACAGAAAATTTATGCCTATGCTAGAGTTTAATCATCTTTGGTAATCCGCCTTGCATTTTATTTTATTTTATTTAGTTGAGCAAATTTATTTTCTCCTTATTTAGTGTGATAAATCAAGAACCCCCCATTATATATATATATATTAGTATAATTATATTCAACCGAGTGTTCAAATTATTATTGTTCCATGCGGGGACGATCCTACTCACCGAACTACTGCATTTTGCAATTTTTTTGGGGCGTAGGAACTGGTATTTTATTTTGCAGCTGTGCGACACGCTTGCAATAGACTATCTCAATTTTTTCTCACCTAAATACATAAATTAAATGCGTACTAACAAACCCATGGTGCATCCAATCAAGTAAATCTTCAAAGATTTGAAGTCCCACTAAATTTCAGTAGGTACCGATGGCATGTAGTTTCCCAAGCGTAGTCACCCAACGACTTCAAGTCATCAAAACATCATAATAAAAATATTTGAACCCGATAGTTTATGGTTGTAAACAAAATGTTGACAAAAACAAATAAAGTATACAGCCTAAAAAATTCATCAATGGCTATAATGTCGTTTCAGACTGTCAAAGTAAAATTATCCGTCACCGAAGCTTGTACAAATCCAACCGAAGCACAAATAAAATAGATCCAAATACACTGTGAACTAAAACAATCGATTCTACCATAAACTTAACTTATTTTTTCGAACTCCGCATTGGAATCACTACAAAAAAATATCAATTTTGTAACAAAATTTTTTCGTTGTTAAATCCACTTTTTCCGTTACTAATGATATTAGAGACGGAATTAGAGATAGAATTACGTTAGCTACGTGAACTTTAGGAACGGAGTTCCGTTGCAAATAT